GTGGGGAAGAGACAGAAATCTTTAATAAAATAAATAAATAAATAAAAATAATATGAAGCATAGACTGAGAACATAGTTCAGTCATGAAAGTGATTACTGCACAGTCATGAAAAGTAGACTACTTGTGGTTCAAGGCTTAAGTAGAGAGAGCAGTTGGCAAAGAAGATTTAAGTAGAGTGAACAGTTGGCAAAGAGGTTAATCAAAACTAAGGATATATTTTGAAATCCTAATGAAATCCTTTAGTTTGTATATATTTAAAAAGGAGTTGAAACAGAAGTATCCTGTATGGGTTGACAATGTTGCTTCCAGAAAGTATTGGTTAATAAGTGAAAATCTTATTGCCAGGTACAGAATACTTTCTTATGTGTTATTCATCAGGGACACCTAAGAAGTACCCAAAACAATACAAGAGCCATTGCTCTTAGTTGTCTAGTATAACTAGATTGTAATTGCCTCTTGCTAAAGATATCACTCATTTGTGTGGCAGTATGAACAGAATGCAACCTCAAACTGACTATGTAGTTCTCTCCCTTAGATATTTCCACAAAGTGTTATGCAGGCTTCAGGGTAAGAAATGACATGAATGGTCTGTTTTATTTAGCTCTGAACCCTGCATGTTATAATAGTCATCTTTGGTAAAATTGCTTACTGGTATTGACATAAGGTCTGATCCACAAGAAGGATTCTATGCATTGTGATGTAAACATGGACAAGACCCATGGCTAGGGAGATCATAAGCCCTAGGTGTGGGGAACTCACTCTTGTTTTGCTAAATTGTCACACTGTCAAACTACATTCTAAGTGTATGTATTCATATGCACATATTTGTGCTACTCTCAACTCTGGTGGGAAGCACATCTTTCTTCAGTGGGTAGTGATAAATGTAGAGACTCCCAACTCTTCAAAGTGTCTATTTTAACTGTGAGGGCTCAGCTCTGGATTGGACATTCATATCAACTCCTCAGAGCCAACACTCAGAGGGCATCATGGAAGAGGGGCTGGAAGGAATATAAGAACCAGAAGACATAGAATATAGCTGTGAAATGCTGATTCTGGTATTGCATGTATCAACTCAGAGAAACTGTAGTTCCCTACCTAAGACCTGTAAAAACTTAATCCAGTTAAAAATCCAGCCTATAAGAGGAAGGGACCCTCAAAGCTTCACCCCTATCTGAGGATCTGTGGGCATCGTGAGCATCTGTGACTGCTGGGGTGAGAGAGTCAATCTCCTTTGTAGATGTGAACACTGATAGGTTGACTAAACCCTAGTGGATAACCCACATACATATACATATGGGAGATTAATAATAAGTTTTTAAAGAGGATATGAAATTAAAAGGGAGATGAGATAGAGAAACTAGGGAGAGTTGGAGGGAGGTAGTAGTAGTAGAAGAATATGATTAAAATACATTTTATAAATGCATGAAAGTATCAAGAATAAACAAGACTTACACGAGATAAAGCCAGTCAAAACTCTGGCCCAGATGGGTAGATTGTATATAAGTCCCTTGCCTTATTACTGATGATTTATTGGCAGTTGGTAGGTGATAGGGGAGGAGGAACATTCTCCTTTGAATGTAGGGCGGGTAGGAGATTTTTCCATGCTCTCGTGGACCCACACCTATGCACATATGGTCAGCACTAACTGAACTAGGAGACTATAAAAGAGATGTCAAATTAGGAGAGGGGAGTATGAGGAGAGTTGGAAGGGCAAATTATGTGAGTAAATATGATCACATTTCACCTTTTACACACATGAAAATATAAAAAATAAATAAAAATGATCAGATGTTATTTAAAAACAACCCTGCAAAACAAAGACTGTCTGTAAAAACAGAAAACAAAATCTGTGTGCTGTGGTTGGCCCTTGTGATTCCAGGACTAGGGAAGGAGAGACAGTCTGATCCTTGGCAGTCACTGGCTAACTAATCCTGTCTACTCAGCATGTTTCACATATGGGTGAGTTTCTGTCTTTAAAACCCAGGTGTATTTTTCTGTCTTTTTTATATAAGTCCACACTAGACATGCCTCCTTTGCCTATTCTTCTCACTCATTTACACTTATAAAACTCCTGTATTTCAGCCTTTCATGTTTCCTGGGACTTCACCCTTCAAACTTGTGATGACCATTCAGGCTCCCCAGCATGATTTTTGTAGAATATGAGTCTCTTATAGGACCAAGGATCCTCAATTGTGTTTAGGATATCCAAAGACCACTTGGAAATGGCAACATGGAGGACACAGTATATATGTACCTTGTATACTGACGAATGTAGGAGCTGCTTACAGGGACCAATGTGATATCAGCCTGAGAGAGTTAAGCTTGGGATGCAGGTCACATCAGGATGGGATGTAGTGTTTCTTTTCATCAGATACAACAAATCTATTATAGTGAGTGTCAGCATGACATTGGAGGGTCATAGTCTCTCTAAGTACCTAGACATGGTCCTTATGGATCAAAACAGAGGAGTTCCTAGATGGCCTCAGAGAAAACATGGGCCAGGTAATAATGGCATAGCCCATGCCAAACACCTTCCAGTCTCACCCATGTTTTCTTGCAGGTCTTGCTGTTTCTCTACATCAAGACCCCTATGCATCCCTCAAATGTTTCTCAGCTATATTGTACTCCTCTAGAATAGAGCTCATGCAAAGAATTTATGGGCTTCAATTAAATGTCAAAGATAAGATTGCTTTACCTACAAGGAGGAGTTGCAGGGTCTCACTGGGCATTGACCACATCTGGGAGGTTCTCTCATAGTAGCCATAGCATCTGAAGGCCCATCTGTGTTTGGAAGTCACTGGCCCCACAGGAAACAAGGCCATAAAATGTCCATTGGGTTGTTTCTGGGAATCCTGAGTCCAGGACACATTCTGTTCTCCTTCCTTGGTAAGGATGTATCTTTCATATCCCTGATGTGAGCTACACTGGAGGGTGACATTCCCTCCTGAGGTCACCAGGGAGCTTGGAAGGGCTGAGATGTTGGGTTTGTTGTAGAATCCTAAAATAGAAGAAACGCAAGTTGACTGGGAAATGCCTTCAACATTATCTAAAGACTGGGCTGTGAGAAGATTTCCTGAGAGCAAATTCCCTTTCTTAGGGCATAACCTGAATTTGGGACCCTTGAGAGTGCTCTTACCTGTGACCACAAGCTCTAGGATGTCACTGCATTCTGACAAGTTAGAAGGGCTGAAATAGCAGCAGTAGTATAGTCCTGCATGATATTCTGTGATAAATGGAATGGAAAAGTTGGCCTTGTTCCCAGGCTCCAGTGAGGTCTGTATCTTCAAGGGGTTTAAACGTTCCTTTTTATATAGATAGTACTTCTGGACTTCCTGGGTTCCAAAACAGAAGATATAAACAGACAGTCCCTTGGTGACCACAGAGTCTGGTTCAGCCCAGATGGTGGGTTTTTGCAATTTTTCTGTAAGAAAATGAAATGCTATATCTCAGGGTATTCCTTTCCTATATTCTACCTCTAATCTCCACTATCATCGAAGCATCCTGCAAATCAACCCACACTTGTTTTTGTCCATATCCAGTACACAGGAGTGGTCAACTGATTTCAATGTGGAAACAGCATCTGACAAAGTTGGGAGAATGACTCACCTGCCACCACCGTTCTCCTGGGTTCCAGACTCAGCCCTGAAAGAGATTTCTCTGTGAGATTTTCTCCCTGAAGTTTGAGAAAATCCTCTCCTCTTCAAAGCCACTCAAGACCTTTGGGTCTCCTGATAAGTCAGAGCTTGGTTATAGCCTGAAGTCCCTCCCAGACATGGAGGATCCCTCCATTCTTCAAATCTTACCAAGATGAAAGAACACTGTAAAAGTGAAGATCATGATGTCTCCCTCCAGGAGTCCCAGCTGTGCAGACGAATGAGACTGCAGTGACTGTCGGGACAGATCAACACAGAAGGTGACCACTAAGACACTGTGCTCTCGATAATGGGCTGTCACATCAAGAAGAGGAAGTCCTACGCAACTAGCTCACTGGTGGAATGCTTACCTAACAAGAGGAAAGCCCTGAATTGCATATACAGCATTGGAAATAAAAATAAGAGGAAGTGTCCTCCTCAAGAGTGAGTATGCTATTTTCACAAGACGTGGCTAAGTGGGGCATGTCTATTGATGACACTGGAGAGAGCAACAGGGCCTTAACCAGCCCCAGTTCTCTTCCTCTCTATTTCAACAAATAGTTTCAAATATACCTCATCTCTTCCTCAGAAATAACTCCCAGGTAATTGTGACTGAGGACTAAGAGCCTCCACATGGGGTTTTCTCTCCATCCCGTCCATATCTACAATATTGTGAAACCTTTACTCTCCTCATTCATATTTCTAACTCTGAAGATGTTTTGGGGGAATGTGCAAACTGATATTTCTGGGTGAGTTCAAAGCAGGATACCAAACACTTATATTTGGGGCTCACATGGAACTGATTTTGAGATTATTATAGGATGTTTACATGCTAGATTGTGTTATCTCTCCCAATTGCCTTGTAAATGTAACAATTGTTCTTCCTCTATCCAAGCAATCAACCACTTTCCCCTTCACCCTCATTATATGGGTGTCAGTATCAGACATGAGATTCCTTGCTGATACTTACAAGTTCCTTCCTTGGACTCACGGATCTCACAAGGATTTAGATAGGCACTGTAAATGTTGGGAAACCTTCTATAGCTTTCTATAATACAAGGAGACAGAAAAAAAAAGAGAAGTTAACACTTACTAAATATTTAAATGAAGTTAGTCCTTGGGCTGCTACACATTTGGAAAAGGGAAGCACCCAGACATGAACAGTGACATTAACTTCATTAAGATTACTCAGTAAAGAGGAACATCAATTGTTTTGAGAAGTGAAACTTATACAGCGTTTAGGGGCCCCATTTTACTCTTGCAAAATGTACATGTTATGAAGTTTAATAGTTAAGGAAATAGGAAATATTAAAGTTTTTATGAGTTCTTTGACGATTTCATGCAATGTTTTGATTTTATCCACCCCTCCCTACTCAACTTAGATACAGCTCCTTCCTTACATGATCCTTTTTTTTTTAAATCCATCAAGTCCAATTTAGTCTTGGTTATGTGGCCTTCCAATGAAGCATGGTTGATGTACCAGAGACTAAACTTTTTCACCCTTTCTCCACAGCTATCAGTTACCAATATCAGATGTGGATGGAAATTCGCATCATTCTCACATCTTTATGCTGAATTTGTTCTAGTTTGATCTTGCACAGTTCTTATACATATAGTCTCAATTGCTGTCATTTCATGTGTTAAGCTGCCATGCTGTTTCCTTGTATTTAGCCACAATCTCTGACTCTTACAATTTTTGTACTCTCTTCTTCCATATCTATCTCTGAGCCTTTGTAGGAAAGGGATGTGCCCTTTACAGCTGAGCATTCTTCAGTCTCTTATTTTCTGATCATTGACCAGTTGTGGATCTCCATGCCAACAATCATCCACTGCATAAATAATCTTCTCAGATGAGGATTTAAAGATGCATTAATCTGTTGTATAACAATAACTCATTAAAATTCAGCTTATATTTGTACTCCCACCAGCAATGGAGGAATGTTCTCATTACCCCCATCCTCTCCAGCATAAGCTGTCATCAGTGTTTTTTATCTTAGCTATTCTGACAGGTGTAAGATGAAATTTCAGTGTTGTTTTGATTTGGATTTCTCTGAAGGTTAAGATGTTGAGTATTTCTTTAATGGTCTTTCAGCCATTTGAGATTTGTCTGTTGATAGTTCTCTTGAGGTCTGTACCCCATTTTTATTAGATTATTTGTTCTTTTGATGTCAGGTTTCTTGAGTTCTTTTTATATTTTGGAGATTAGTCTTTTGTCCAATGTAGAAATGGTAAAGATCTTTTCCCATTCTGTAGGTTGCTGTCTTGTCTTGTACAGTCATTTTGGAAATACGTATGGCAATTTCTCAGAAAATTAGGAAACAGTCTACCTCAAGACCCAGCTATGCTGCTGTTGGGTATATACCCAAAGAATACTCAATCATACTGCAAGGACAGGTGCTCAACTATGTTCATAGCAGCATTATTTGTAAGAGCCCAAATCTGGTAACAACCTAGATGACCCTCAACCAAATAATGAATAAAGAAAATGTGGTACGGGCTGGAGAGATGGCTCAGTGTTTAAGAGCATTGCCTGCTCTTCCAAAGGTCCTGAGTTCAATTCCCAGCAACCACATGGTGGCTCACAACTATCTGGAATGAGGTCTGGTGCCCTCTTCTGGCCTGCAGACATACACACATTGTATAAATAAATAAATAAATAAATTAATTAATTAATTAATTAATTAAAAAAAGAAAATCTGGTACATTTATACAATGAAATATTATACAGTGGTAAAAAATGACATCTTGAAATTTGCATGAAAATTGATAAATCTAGGGAAAAAACATATTCTGGTAACTCAGATCCAGAAAGTAATATATACTCACTCATAAGTGGCTTCTAGATATAAAGCAAAGAAAAAAAAAAAAACAACCTACTGTCCATAACTCCAGACAACCTAGACAACAGAGGACGCTAACAGAGACATACATAGATCTACATCTAGGAAGGAGTGAAAGACAAGATACCCTGAGTAAATTGGGTGTGTGGAGGTCACAGATGAGGGTAAGGAAAAAGGGAGGAAGGGATAGAAGCAGAGAAAACTGTATAGCTCAATTAAAACAAAAAGGATAATAAAGTCAGCTTAATACCATGTCCATTTAGAAGAAGAGCAATATTTTTCCCATAGTGTCAATGACCTATTGTTTAGCTACAGGTACTTAGACTCAGTAATAATCCTAAGTATAAGTTTTATATTGTAAAGCAGGACATTAATCCAATCAGAAAGTGATTGATTACACCCATGATATTTGAGCAGCTATTGCACCAGTGGGCATGTCTTTCCAGGAGCATCATTATTGTAGTTTACAGGGTTAACAACTGGGTAAGAATGATTATTACTTTTCTCTTTCAGTAATAAGCATAGTGCTTTACATGACTATGATATGTAGTAGAGATAAATCTTCAGGGTTGATAAATTTCTCAGTGTTCTGTGACTCGGGCTTATGGTATCTTCAGCAATTGGGTCTTATTATTAAGTTATAGAGAGCAAACAAGAACTCTGGAAAATAGCTGTTTGGGGATTATGGAATCTCAATGGTCAACAACTCCAAAGAGGTAAGCCATCACAGCATTGGACTTTTTATTTGTTATTGTGCGGTATCTAGTAATAACAATGTTTCACTATTAGAGTGTAACTCCATTGTAAATTATTTTTCTGTATGTCTGTCTGGAAACTTTTACAGTAGTGGGCTTCCTATGACTTTTCTGATGGTCATTAGAGGCCTATATAACACCAATCATAGAAAATCAGAAAAGCAATTATCCATGGCATACCACAGTTAGAACATTAAAAACACAAGCTACAAACGAGAAAGCTTGTACTGATTAAAAGTTGTTCAGTCTGTGATGTTGGTGGTCTCAGCTGATCTTCAGTATACTCTGGAATCCCAAAGAACCATGCTCTAATGCCAGTGAAGAAATAGACATCACAGCTAGTGAAGGCAAGCAGGCAAAGAGAGATAGCTTCCTTCTTCCATGTCTTTTATACAGACTGCCAGCAAAAAAAAAAAAAAAAGTGGCTTAGATCAAACATGGATGTTACCACCTCAAAAGATGTAGAAAAAGAGTGTACCTTCCCATGTCAAAGAATTTATTAAGAAAAAAAATCTACATAGCCACTTGGACTTCAGTTAATTCCAGATGTAGTCAAATTGGCAACCAAGAATAGCCATCAGATATGTTAAGTAACTTACAAAGAAAAGTCATTAGGGACTGGATTATTTGACAGAAATGTTTAAATCCGAAGTGCCTGCAGAAATATACTCTAATTCCTGAAAGACTACAACTATCAACTGCAATTATTCTACCCAGTAAAACTATATGTTAAATTTAAATGATTGCAAATCTTTAAGCAAAGAAATATATAGATATGTTAATGTTTTAAGATCACCGTTACAAAAAGACTTTTTAAAAACGATCACCATTAGGTGGGTAATGGATGTAAAAGAATTATAAACAGAAAACTGTGATAAATTCCATAATGATCTGAATCAGCATGGTGAGCCCATCAGTATTTTAGGTGGTGTGGGGTTCCTGTGTATCCCCAATACAAATTTTAAATAATGAATATGCTTACAGTTGAATGAGTCAAAAATATAAGAGTTCTCTGCTCTTATCACACCGAGGAAGTTAGAAAGCTGTTTTATAGTCTTTTACTGGCTCAGGGAACTGACTTTAAAGACACAAGTGTGTTAGTGAATGAACATGTCTGTCTATCAGGAACACATGGCAATGTTTGCTAATTTGTTCCTCTAAAATTGAGAGGACTTTGTAGGGAGAAGACAAACTTGACTGACCATTAATGGCAAAAAGAGAGGCACCATAATATTCTAGGCATACAGAATCCTGTGGACGGATTAGGCATGGCAACAGACAAGGGTTCTTAGAAGTTCTTTAGGGGTGAGAGAAGTGAGCTAGTGTGATGACAGGAACCTAGAGGAGCGCAGGAGGTGAATGGAGTAATGATACCAACATATTTGCTTGAGTCTCACTGAACAGTATCGATACCTGGGGACAGCAACATGAACAGTTCAGGATGGGACTTTTTAGAGTTCATGTTAAAATAAAAAGAGAAACGTGGAAGAACTGAGTCTACCCTCTGTCTGGCTTGATCAGAGAATTGAACATGGTCCCCACAGATGGTACCAGGAGGAGTTTTGGGAGGGTGTGAACAAGACCTAATTTACTTGCAGAGAGAAGTTAACTTTTTTTTCCTGACCACTCTTGTGTTTGCTTTCTGGTAATTTCCTGCTTCATACTTCTTCATTTCTGTAAGGGCAGTAACTTCTTCTCAACCCTCTCTATCTAAACTTCCTCATGATTTCTT